TATGTTTTCGTCTGTCTAGATATTTTGGTGACATTCATGTTACATCTGCTAATATTTCAACACGTCTCTTCCATTTTCACTTGCTGCGTGGTACTTTGTGGCGGAACGTTGCTTGAATGCTGTTGAATATGTCTAGAATACTGTTGAAATTGGCATGTGTGCCTTTCCTATAAATATATTCATGTTTGCAGTTTGCTGCATTCAGACACTCTATTCGGAGAATCTATCTTTGGACTAATGTCGTTTTCCCCCTTTTTGTTCTTTTTTTATTCGCTCCAGTGCTGCTCCATATATTTTACCCCCAAGCTATCTTTAGACTGGCATATGCCGCAGCTGTATGCTTAAAGCCAGATTCACAGGTTTGCTTGGCTGATGATGTTGCATGCTTTGTGTTAAGTGTTCATTTCCCTCCCCAGTCCCCCAGCCAACCTGTCTGTGTGCGCTGCCATGAATAACTAATGACATTAGCAAGGTGAAATATTCCTGGCTTCAACACATGTGCTGTCTTCAATAAGACATCACATGACAGACAACCCAAAATTCGTTCAAAAGTTTTTCTATAGCATGTGAAAAATTTAATTTCCAAGTTGATTGATTAGAATAAAGTACTGGAATTCCAAGAAGAGGATGGACCTTCCAGTGTAGAAAAAAAAGAAAACAATGACATACTCTCAAACCACAATAAGAAATTACATGTACTGGTATCTGGGTTCAGACCATGTCTGAAAATTCTGGTTACAGGTGTAAATAGCACATACCTGGTACATGCATATGTATGCCAAACCGGCTTGGGGCTATAGCCACTTCCCATAGAAAGGTGTTTCAGTGCCAGCCATAACCACTTGATTCCTGCACAGCCATAAGGCTGATCTTGGACAAGTTGATTAGACTGGGATTTGCACCTGTTACCCCTGGAAAATGGGACCGCTTTGGTAGAGTGTATTCGAGTCTGACACAAGTCCTTTCACAAGTCCATTTACATGTCTGCAAATGACAGGGTGAACAATGACAAACGAATACCTTTTGTCACATTTCATTGGAGTAGTTAGTGTCTTGATGAGACTGAGTGACTTGTCATGAACTTGCAAGGATAAGTCAGTGGTTCACTTCCTGTTTCAGTCAATTTCAACTTAATATAGAGGAAATATGAAAATGAAAGAAATTGGAATCAATAGGGCAAACAGGCTTGGAATTTTTAAAAAGCTTTTGACTGTACAAACAGTTCATTTAAAAACATCCTCAATTCGTACCAGAATAGTTCAAGAAAACTTAAAAGTGCTTGTGGTTTCAGTTGATATGTATTGTGCACATCTGTGTACGGTACTGTATAAATGTGAAATCTCTCAAAGAGGGAAAGAAATTACAAAAGTGGAGGTACTTGATATCACAATATTAGAAAAGTTAAAATGAATTGCATAGTTTAAATTAATGGCAAACACGACTTGTTTGATAACTTCACCTGCAGTGGATTAATGATTCCAGATACGAGCAGTCTTGCAGGTGCACGTTATCCAAATTGCAAACACAGACCATCTGGCGGAAACGTGGAATGATTTCTTAGGGGAAAGTGAGGTAATGTTTCACTGAGGTGCTAGCCTGTGGGAGCCAGCTCTGCATCATTGGAGGAGCTTTGAAATCAAACAAATTTGTTCCTGTGACAAACAAATCAATATGTGTGAACTCATTTGACGTGTTGGCTCAACATTGGCATGCTTCTTAATGATCCTATCAGTTTGCCAGGCATGAAGTGGATAGATTTTCTGGACTTTTGTATCCCTCTCCAAGTAACTCAGTCCCAGAAGTTTGGATGGTGTGGCAGATTCGGGATGGTTAACGGTTGGTTACTGGTGACACTGGTGGAGACCTATACAAGGAATCAAGTATTAGGTTCATACCTGATGGTGGCTCTTAGAGGAAGAATAGCAGCAGAAAATGACCAACGATGTTGGTGTTTACAGATACAATAGAAAAGAACTTGTTTATGAGGTTCTTGAGTGAGATATTCCTGGTGTTAAAAGAACTTGTTTATGAGGTTCTTGAGTGAGATATTCCTGGTGTTAAAAGAACTTGTTTATGAGGTTCTTAAGTGAGATATTCCTGGGGTTAAAAGAACTTGTTTATGAGGTTCTTGAGTGAGATATTCGGGGGGTTAAAAGAACTTGTTTATGAGGTTCTTGAGTGAGATATTCCTGGGGTTAAATTATCTCAGATTTCCATGCATAAGATCTGCAACTGGGCATGACATTAAAGAAAGGGATATTCTTTATTCAGTGTGAAGAAGTACCTGTGTTGAATCTCAAATCATCTGACACAGAACAGGCAAGCAATTCCATCTCAAATTGACTGATATCTGACTGAAACTTTGACATTGAGATAGAGGAAAGGCTCGTGATGCCCTTGAACCGTGGCTATTAGGCTAAGGTAAATGTTTCATACATGTACCTTCCCAGGTGTAAAACTTTAAAAATGTCAATTTTCAAAGACAGTGGATTTGAGAATGTGCTTGGTTTTGTACCTCCAATGCTTCCCTGTCCCTGTACATTGCCAGTCACCACGGGCAATTCAAGCAGTGACATTAATAATGCGACGGGAAGTCGATACTTCCGCAATGGTTCCTGGAGAACACTTGAGTGGGTGGATTCCCGAGGCAACATTGATGCAGGTCTCGACTCTTTTCAGTGGTTTGAAGCAAGTGCATGTCATTGAATGTGAATCATGCAGAAATATTTGTTAATCCAGGGAGGTGGGAAACCATCAGCATTTGGATAAAAAGCAAAAAAGATTGAAAGCTTGCAAGTAAATTTGGTCGTTACAAGGTTAGGCACATAGATACATGCATGTAGAACCCAACAGAGCATTTGTTGAGTAGCATTGTGTCGTACATATGAACATACCAGGTTTCAATGTTTGTCCTTTCCCGTATTATTAGTGCTCTTTAATATTCAGCAGCTTACTGGGTGGTTTATTGATCAATTACAGTATATATGCAGTTAGCCAAAGTAGAGGCTCCATGGCATAATGATTGTCATGTTTATTGGCTGGTGTGCTGCCAGTATGGAAATTTAGTGCCATCAGTCAGTGCTACATTAAATCAGTTTAGGCTGAATTTAAAGATTGCGTGAAACGTAGATATCGCAGCGACATAGCATTTAACAAATGGATTGCTTATTGGACAAAATGAAAATAGAACAAATCTCAAACATTCACGTCAGATGGCAAACCATCAAGTTGAATTAACCGGAGGAGAAGAAACAAGACGAAAACGCCAAAATTACATTTCAAAGTGAAAATGAACAATGAAAATCAGTTTTCCAAAGTCTGAACAGAAGGCATATCTTAACCTCCACTGTCTGAAGAATCATGTTTAAAAATGCCACAACTCTCTTCTTTTTTGGCATCAACAACTCCTTTCCCTAGTGAGGAGTTAAAAATTGTACAATTAAAAGCAATTTTTTTTTACGTTACCCTAGCCTTTTACTGTGCTGTGTAAAGCTGAATCGTTCTCAGAATTGGTTGTGTTTCTCGGTATTCAGTATTCATCATTCATAGCACTTAACCCTGCTGAGTTCCTGAGCCATTGCCTAACTGCCCCGATAATGGCTAACACAGCTGCAGTGGGCATTTGCATATTCTCAGACCTTATACATCAATAAGCCAAGCTTGTAACGACTATGTCTCATTGATGTGCATAGCAGTACATGTGCCTCCATCAACAGTGATAAACATGTTACAGTGAATGTACTCCCTAAGTTCTAAATCACCATTAACACATTTTGGTTTCCATGACTACATTGTTAATAATCCTGCTGCCACATGTGAACATCAACAAAAACAAAATACATTAACGACTCACGTAAGATTGTCATCATGGGAGCAATTCACCAAGCCACTCAATACTAAAATGCATACAACAGCAAAAGTGACCCAGCAAGAGTGCAAGCCAATACCGGGGGATAGGGCAGTCAGTCCTTCAACAAAGGGCCAAGCCACACCATTAGCAGTCACTGAAGATAACTGAAAGAGACACCAAAATCAATATCTCTTGTTTCTGAGGAAGATAGGGCATTTTTAATGTCTCCGGGACATCACTTTATCTACGTGTAACTGATTTCCTGCCTTCTTTTGCTTAGGCACTGAAACAAAGCATAAATATTGTGTGTCATTTTTTTGAGCAGTGGAATTAGTTGAATCAGCGTCTTAGGCCAAAGAAGGTTAGCCAAATATTCCCTATATGTCATTCATGAACTCTTGGGGACTCTTGAGTTGAAATGGGGCCAATTTGGTTTAGCCTCCTGCCTAAAGGCACAGGCTTATATTTTCAATGGAACCTGAGTCTTTACTTATGCAGTCGCATAGTCGCCAAATAACTGTATGGCCTTTGTGGAATCTATGAATCCTGTACATACATGTACATGTACATTTCTATGTACATTTATACCGTCTCTTAAGGCTTTCAATACTCACGAGAAATCCACCAGAAAGCTTTTTTTATAAAAATGAAAGCACATACATGTGCACGTATGAATTGAATGGCTGTGTAATGTTTTCATTCAAATAACCATATGTAAACTAAACGGTCCATCTACATATATTCACAGAGAGAAACAATATCAAAACAGGTACGCTGCATATGAGACCTACATTAATCACCAGGAAGCCTGAGTTGTTATCACCTCCAATCCCTGAAGATTCCTTCGTCTTCATATGTCCTGTGTTTGTTTATACACTCCTGACCCCTCCATCTTGAAGTGTGACCCCTTGTAACACCTGCCTAGTGTTGTGTTCACCTTGTGAAGATAATCGTGCTCGTCTACATGCGTGCATGCATGTGGTTGTCATACTCTCGTATGGCTCTCATATTTGTTGCATGCTGATCCGCAGTTTAGTGATTCGCTCACAGGCTTGTCTTCTGTGCATGTCAAAGTACAAGGTACGTGTGTAGATATGTACTGTGTAATTTGTCTTACTTCTCGAGTAACCCACATTCCTCATTTGTCAAGGAGACGAGCTGGACCAGTTGAGTGAGTCACCGAGGCTTGGACCTTAACTAAACGTCATCATCATCATTACCTCATCACCTTCATCACCATGGAGATAGATGGATGCTGCTTATTGTAGGAGTAGAGGGAGAGACTTGTGTTAAACAATAACTTGAGGTTCTGTTCTGTGGTCATTGTCCTGTGGCCAACCTACTCCTACCCTTGGGATTGCATATAAATTGTTGTGGTTGACAATAGTAATGAGATTAGCTAGCTGCACAAGGAGTGTTGTGGTCCATTGCTGTCAGAGAACGTGTTACAATCGGCTTTTTGGAGTCGAGCCAACTGACGTTTAGTGCTTGGATTACACACGGCCAGTAATGAGACTGGCGTCAGAATTTTATTGAACACAGAGTATGTAGTGGCAATTACATTGCCAATCAGTGGAAGAGGATATTGATATAATTTTACTTGGATGATTACATGATCGTGCAAAGTAGATCGATGTAGTGTCCAGATGGCGCAAATCTGTCCAGGGCAGGGCGTGCTGGACATGGATGTACCGGTCTTGGTACGGATGGCCACTTTGCCCAAAAGTACACAGCGCAGGAAGATACCAGGCCGGCCAGTTCGGACGCTCACCCGCTCAGACCCATGCATTGAAACTTCTGGCTGGAGCCCAGAGACAACTCGAGCCCCAGTGCTCACGGAGCGGACCAACAATCAGGATCTTGTAGGCAGCACGGACGTTGGTATGAGACACCCAAGCCCTCGGGGGTGTGCTGGTGTTGGACCCCCCACGGCCAGCACCGAAGGGCAGATACTAGCTGTACAGCAACACTTACTGTGGCTTGAGGAGAAACTCCACGAGCTGCAGAAATTGTCAGGAAACACGAACGGAACTGGGAATAAGAACGAAGGGCGAAGCGGGCAGGATCAGGTCTCCTCTAACTACTACTGCATCACTCAGGGGGTGGACTCTAACCCGGGGACCTCCAAGAGCAACTCTCCAGAAAACGGCGAGACTATGATGGGAATAATGAACGGGAAGGAGAATGGAATACATTCCAACAACAACGGGCAAAAGAGGAAAGTGTCACATGGGATGTGCACGCCAAGAGGCATCCCACCGATGGTTAGGATTGATTCCTTGGATGCACCCAACACCGTCTCCACTGTATTAGTGGGTGATCGATACCAGCCCTATGGGGCTAATATTTATAACAATGTGTTCCGAAACAGGGCAGATTCATCTAGTTTGGGGACGGTGTCATCGTTGTCTCGGTCCCCTTCCCCAAGGGTGCGTCTCAGGGGTTTAGATCACATGGATGCAGCCAGCACCATTTCGGCTTCTACCTCTTCCAATCCCTCCCCTACCTCCCAAGATGAACACATAGCTGTACGGCCAGTCGGGTTTGGCCAGGCCATCTCTATCTTTGGCCCAGGAGGAGGGAACCTGGTGGGGGAAGACATCTGGGAATTCGATGGTTGTGACGAGAATGCTCACTCCACCACAACTCCGACACCATCTGGTGTGGAATCTCTGAGTTCTGCTGCCACCCCTAACCAGCCGGCTGTAACCCCCAACTCTCCTTTCCACAGTCAGCCAGGAACAGGTATGGACAGTCTAAATGTAGACAGTTGGAGTTTAGATATCAGTAGTGGAGTACCACCAAGCCCTGCTCTCTCCAACATGACCGATGGTGGTTACCAAGTGGGTGATGGGGTACCAATGACTGACATCCAGGAGCATCCACTGAAGAGACTGAATTCTCAATCGCAAGCAACTGGTACACCATCACCAAGATCTCTTAAACCCACATTCTCCTTCACATCGTCCATCATCTCCAAGGCAAAGGCACGATTCACAGGCCGGGCAGTGAAGAAAGGTAAAATACTGTTTGCTATTTCTCAGTGTTTTTTTATCATGCACATGCATGCTTTTAAAAATCATATTTACATGTATTAACAGCGAGGTCAGAAAGAGTTGGATACCGTCGGGCATGGTTGGTCATGTGTTGTGCCGATAAAGGCCAGAACGGTTGAGTCAAAACTTATGAGTGTAACTATCTCTGAGAAAATCAGTAGGAGCCGAGTCTTTGTCCTTTCCGACTGCTACCCTTGATTGGTCAAGAAGGGAAGAAAGTGTCAGTCACATACGTGTACGTTAATGGACTCATGATGGCAGTTTGCAATGTTTTAATGTGAAATAGTATTTTACTTTGTGCCTCAATTTGGTGATGAATTTTTTTTGCTCAATGAGGCCTCAGTACATTTGTGCTTTTATGCTATGAAGTTGGAAAATCAAAATTTTGTTTTGAAATTAATCTTGTTGTCTTGTGCTTTTTTCTATTCTGTGCTTAATAAAAAACATCATCTGGAATTTTCAAAATGTTAGTTACAATGCACAATTGCTTGTTTTTTTCTTGCCTCTTGCTGCATTCACTTTTTATTTCACATCCAAGCTTGAAATTGAAGCAGTGAAATCGTCAATATGTTAATTATGTTAATAAACATTGCCAATCGGCAACCGTATAATGAAATTGTCACCAACAAGCAATCCAGTAGGTGATTAACTTAAGAGGTCAGAGTTCAAATGGCCTGCATAATGAGCCAGAATAATGTCACCAATTGTCAAATGTACTGTCCATGCTGCTTGCCCCCTAAAGCGGCTGAAGAGAGAAACCTCTTGTCATTTAACTTGTTTAGAATACAGCATTTATTTTGAGCTTGTACATGTATCCTGAAAATGCTTGAGGCCGTCAGTGTAGAGCAACTGCTCATGACTTAATATTTGGATCAACGCTCCCTTTCTATTTAACGGCAGTATCTACTGCATCCACGTCTTGCTATGGGAACAAAGCAGTTACCATCGCCATAGTAACTTGTATTGCTTGCATTTCCTAGTCACACCAAACATGGTACCGTAGTTTCCATAATTTTTACCGATAGAATAGACTTTCAAAAATGATAAACTTTCATCTTTTTCATCGTCACTCTAATTTAGTCTTGGATGATTGCCATGCAATCTTATGGCAAACTTGGGCAATTTTAACTTTACTCATGTATATCTCACAACTTCATGTATATGTAATTTTCTTCCATGAAGCATGTTTTTCTCCAGACTAGAAATGTTTGCTTAAGTATCATTGTAGCATTGTAGTTAACTGTTAGTTACCTGTGAACAGGTACATACAGGTTCGTGTACACGCACATGTATATGTTCTTATTTTATGTATGTACTTGTATATTTGCACAATTTACATGTACATGACCTTTACAAATACGAAGTCTGTCTTTCCAGTCCATGTACTTCATAGCTGTATACAACTTGTCTTTGTATTGCCCCGCATATCTTTAATAAGAACATGATCCATTCAATGCTTTCAAATGCCGACGGTAACAAGCACTCTGTACCAAGGAGCTGGTCTGTGTAATTGAAAGAAGTATGTTTATAATCCAACAGAAGTCGCTTTAGTTTGCTGAAGATCACACATCTCATTTTCCATCTTCCTTAAGAGATGATTTTAGCTGATTAAGCTGATTGGTTTACATTGACTTAACGTTTTGATCGTGTATGTACATGTGCAGTTACATAGTCATCGCTTGGCAGTGAGTCTTGAAACAGTGATATCGAAGACTGGAAAACCTTCAATACTTTTTGGGTTGAATTTGTGAGTGCTATCTACCTGAGCAGTTTCTCACAGCGTCCAGTTGACAAATACCGTCTGAGAACATTAATCTACTGGTAATATCATGCAGCCTTGATGGATAGATGATTTTTAGCCCAAGGGAAATTCTCTTCTTTGAATGTTGGAGTTTGCATTTAAATTCTTCCATATGGGATACCTACCTACAAACATGTACATGTATGCTGTATGTTATGATATTCATTATTATTTACATTTTACCATTCCTGTAAGCATGGATTTTAAATACATCTTCACTGCAGAAGCTTCTCAGATGCAGTGTGTTACGAAACCTACCCTTAAATTCTACCGTACCGAGAGCTGTCTTGACGGATGATGGCTCAAATTGATCTGGATTTACCAAGTCGCAGGGCCTGCCCACTTGTTAGAATATTTGAAACAGAGGTCTTCACGTGGAGAATTTAATAACGTCATAGCAGCTAGTTTACTAATGAGGCATTCACTCAGACGAATACCATCCACAGGATTTAATTACTGTACACCACCCGTTTTGGGGAATTCAGAATTATCAACTGTTGGCATTGTAGTGGCAACTGGTTAATTCAAACCAAAATACTTCATCTTGCTGTGTAAAGCATTCAGCAATGTGACATTTCTGTTCCAAATTAAAACCAAGTTGCCTTTTTGTCCTACTATCATCCTGAAGAATGTAGTTTATCACAGAACCTTCCCCTGTGTAAGGGGTTTCTATCAATGCCCAATATTCAGAGCTACGTATATTTGAATTTCCCTGTTTCCATTTTAACATGAATGGTTCCCTGAGCTTTTTTATTTAGATTTATGCCATGAAGGAAGTACAGTGTTTTGTTTCAGAACTCTTTAAGTGAGATTAGTTTACCCATACACCATTCATTAACCCATGAGAGATTACTTGTGAAATGTGGCAGACTTCAGTAATCCCTGGCTCCATTTAGTATCTATAGCCTGCATCCCCGTCCAACACCTGAGCAGACAATCCAATAACATGGTTTGCCAGGCTTTGTCTGATTTAATTGGCTGTGGATGCTGATAACAGTCCTCGCTATGAAAATTGGATGTAGCTGTTATCCACAGGCTCCATTGGTACATTTGTGACCCAGTGTCACAAAATGAGTCGCAAGTCAGTTTAAGCATAGAGCTACAAACCCTCTATGGTTTAAGTCACCAGAGAAACTTTCAGAGAGAGGCCTTCAAGAGAATTTTGCACTGTGTAAAACGGTGGGAGCCCACTCAATATTTTGAAACCATACCGTACGCGTATGTTGTCCATTTTCACCTGGATACCAAACTGCATGATACATGTACATGTACATCCAAACAGAACTCAGTTGGGATTTTGTTGTGTTCTTTAATTAAACATAATGGTTGAATATGTGGCCTTAAGACGTATTTTGTAAGATCTGGTCACATTCGTTGTTGCAAGCCATAGTCAAGTACCATACATGTATGTATTTCCTTATTTAGAGTCATCTCTTGTCTCGGGTTGTGGACAATGAGGGATGGAGGTGACGTAGTTCCCAGTACCTTTCTCAAAAGACTCAGGGCATGATGGGAAACTTTCTCCAGGCTGAGGGGCACTCGAAAAACAATTCAAATGGATTGAGTGAACAGGTGCAGAAAAGGAATTAGCCAAGGTATTAGAAGCATAGACTGTCGACTGTTAGTGTGAAATATTCATGCCGTCAGGTGCCATGGGGCCACATTTCAAATGAAAATCATGGAATCTGTTGTGAAGAGACAAAGGGAAAGTTCTGATGTCAGAACACTAGTTTTCCCTTTTTAAAAACACAAAACACTCTTATTTTGATCAAGCATTAATTCTGTGGAATTTTCAGAACTACATCAAACGTCAGGCCTGTTTCTTGAAGGCAACACTTCTGTGTAATTCCTTTACATTTGATGTTATGGTAGCATTACATCGTAGCAGTAGGTCACATGAATAATGACTTGGCGACATGATCCAACATTATGTATGCATTCTGCAGCTCAAACCAATTAAGGCCATGCAATCTCTTGAGAGCCCCGATCCCAACGTTTTTTCCCTCAAATTATCCAGGTCAAGTTGATGCAGGGGTGAGAGAGGCACATAAGACGATGATGGACGATGGATAAATCGCATCATACACTGCGTCTGAGGATGAGATGGGGGTGAATAGGAAGGAGGTATACACATATGAGGATGGTCCTAGAGGCTTAGAAATGGGGGTTTACAATGTCTGGCTCATTTATTGGGCAGTAATGATAGTGCAGTAGCCAGTTTTAGATTGTGGGATAGGGTATGTTATTACTGTGTGTGTCTGAGGGTGAGATGGGGCAATGGGGGTTGGGAGGTGCAGATACAGAGGTGATCCAGGACACTCACTTGTTTCGGAACACCTCATTAATTAGTCAGTTGAGTGTTCTTACACTGCGGTAGTTCTATCCCAAGCTGTGTCTCTGGCTGTTTTCCTGTGGTATGCTAATGGCAACTAATCAAAGCCATAGCCCCAAGATGCCGTATTCAGACATGGCTACACGCTATGCACTATACCGTACCTTCACGACATGATGAATTTTCTAGGGCCTACTGATAGCACAAATTTAGGGAGCCTGGTTACCAACCAGAATGGCCTGTGAAACATACAGCTGGTGCAAATTTAGGGAGCCTGGTTACCAACCAGAATGGCATGTGAAACATACAGCTGGTGCAAATTTAGGGAGCCTGGTTACCAACCAGAATGGCCTGTGAAACATACAGCTGGTGCAAATTTAGGGAGCCTGGTTACCAACCAGAATGGCATGTGAAACATACAGCTGGTAACTGGTTCTCCTCTGATCCTTGCTTTACACAACTTTTCCAGGCCATCAATATCAACCTACATGTATATGTATTTGTGTTCACTGGGGCTGAAAAAAGTGAAATAAAAAGCCATGCCAGATCTTGGCAAGAACAGAAAATGTGAGTTTGGAGGACTGGATATACTAAGTACCAAGTATTCAAGATACGACCAGTACAGTGCGTAAACAGGTGTAAACATACCGCTACCATGACTGCTGTATGTTTGGGAAAATCAGCTAGTGTGAGGCTAAATCTTTCCACTGACTGTATTTATCATGCTTGTCAATACTTATTCAGTTAATGCAGTTTTATTGATGGAATGCACTTACCGGAACAGTGTCAGTGTGAATGCATTAAGGATGGCTTCATCTAAATTGAGAGT